AAAAGGTAGAAAAACAGCGGAAGATGATGATAAAAAGTGCGGAAATTACGTTGACCTAAAAAAATTGTCGAGCAAAAGTTTGCCGGCACGGAAAGAGTGAAAGAGAGCGATAGTGTGACTGTTTGAGAGTGACAGAGAGAGAGAGAGAGAGAACTAAACGCACTTGCACTTATGCACTTTAAATATGATGAAAAGGTAAACGCGGCACATACATAGTCACAATCACATGAATACTCGCACAAACACGCAGACACACAGTCACGAACCTACCCAAAGGACGACAACAAAATGCAGAGACATGACGCAAATGGCAGAGGAGGATGTGAATGGGAAGAGCAGGATACGCTTCACGAACAGATTAAGAGGTGGCTGGTGCATGTAAATGCTTGGAAAAACTCAAGGGTTAAGGTAAGTGGTGTGTCCGCCGGCTCCAGTTACCCTCCCTGCCCAACCCAATCCAACCCCCTGCAACCCCGTCGCAACCCCGTGCAATCCCTCAAGCAATCCACCCATCCTCCGGCATATGCAAATTGTCGGTGCTTTTGTGAGCTTATTAAGAGCTCGAAAGTGCATTAAAAAAAAACACACACACACACACAGAAATACGGCACACCACTGGACAGGAAAGGGGGAGTGGCAAGTAGGTAGCTGAGGAAGGATGGGGTACAGTAACGATGAAGAAGGATAGACTGGGGGGGTCTGTGTGGGTGAGAAAATGCAGCAGTCATGTACATAAATGCTTTCAAGTCAACCGACTCGGAAATGAGAACCAGGCGAGCACCACACGAATGACGGCATTGAAATGAGCAACTGCCAGGAACATGTACGAGACAGGACAGGGTAGGACAGGACACACATCCTTCGCCTGCAGGTCCTTCAGCTCCGAATGGACATGTTGCTGGCTAAAAGTTGTGCCCGCTTTTGGTGTAATTTTGTTAATTAAAAGGTGTGACAAAAGCTGGGCAAGGCAAAAGGCAAGGCACTGTAAAACTGTCTCAAATTACTGAAATGCAAAACCAACATCCTAGCATCCTTCAACAAGTATGTGGCAAGGACATTTAGCCAGGAGTCATACCGACCAGAAGCTTGCCCATTTGCATACCAAATCGTCAGTCAGGGGCGTGGGGGGGGAGTGGAATGCAGATGCCACTTGAGAGGTTGCTGTTAGACACACCAGACATCGCAGACAAGTGGCCACCCCACTTCAGGACCACTAAAGGACTCCTCCGCCAGGCCGGAAATGCTCCTGACTCTCTTCCTCTGTTTATCTCTCTTTCTGGCTCAGGTAAATTCACAGAACAGGATATTGCACAAATTGAAAGGAAGAGCACTGAAAGTTGCGCTGAAAGTTGACTAGAAACATCTTATGAAAAAATTATGAGTGAAAAGTTTCAAAAAGTGGAGTTGAGAGGAATTGGAGCGTCCTTCTTAACTTAGCTTTTAAAGTTGAAATATCTGCCATAAGTCCAATGGATAGCAATCTCAAAAAATATTCAAAAATGAAATTTCGTTACAACGGATGCTGAGCAGATGGATTTCACCTTTGAAAGTTCATAAAAGCTCAGACATAAACCTTTTACTGTCCACCGAAAGCTTCCTAAAGTTTCGATAATATCGTTTGGTCCTGAACCTAGCTAGTTTTGAAAGCTTTTCAAAGCTTCGGGTTGGGAAAAGCTTGCCTGGACTTAAAACAGGATAAATTATAGAACAAAAGAGCTAAACACTTTTCATTAGACTCCATAACGGATAAGGGATAACGGATAGGATAGAATCCCTAACAGAATCTTAACAGAATGTTAATGTTGAAGGAGAGATACATTTTTGGATAGAAATACTTATGTACATTATTTATGGGAAATATCTAAATAATATTTCTGCATTCCCAAAAAAAAGTTTGCCTCAGAAAAGTTTTCCCCAATTGATGGAACTCTCAAGAAACTACTTTCAAGAAACTGTTTTTCAAGTAAAGCAGACTTTTCCTTTTCAAAATTATTCTTCAATTATGATGTCAACGATTTTGTTTGAGCCCTAACTGATGTAACAAATTCGTTTAGCCTGCGTCATTGTTTACGTATAACAAAACAGCGACAAGGAGCAGCCGCCACAAAGGGTCCTACATAAGTATATGGCTGAGTCAGCAGCGAGCCTCATCCTCATCCTCATCCTCGACGCATCCTGCTTATGTTCGCAGGATGCAATGCCTTGAAGTGGCACTTGAGAAAATGCTTCTTTCGGGGTCTCGAAGGGGGTACGAATCCGGGGACCCGCATACGAGGCTGGAGACACACTTGTCTGCTAAATGCTGACACCAAAGACTGGCTCAAGTATTTTGCGGGCAAATAGTCTAGAGTACTCCCCCCACACTGAGCCGAGTCCACGCAGAATATACATGTACATTGTACATTGTACATAAATATCCTCGTAATAAAAGTCACTCGAGTGACATTTTTCCGAGCCTGCGGCCGTAAAGTAAAAGGCAAACAAAGCTTAGGCCATCAGCAAGGAGTGGGGGTTGGAGTGGGTCCCGGCTCTGGAGTTCATTTTGCAGTCGCTGTTTTTTAATCGATTATTGCCGCGTTATTGTTTCCTCCAGTGCCAGGGTAAATCCTGTCTGAGTGTTGCATTTGCAGCAAACAATGGGGCAAACAGCTACAGAAAAATGCAAATGCAGAAATCCGAGATTGTACATTGAACTTGTGCTGTATCATCATCATCTCTGGTTCCCAACCCTAGCAGGGGCGGGGTTTTACAGCAGAATTGAAATGTCCTCGCCTGCTCTGCAACATCATATTCAATATGCAACATCCAGATAAACAAGAAGGAGTCTGCCGGGGGCTCTACAAGATAGCTACGATTCGGTTACCTTCTGGTTTGGCTTGGGGCTCGTTGGGTTATTTTTTATACTGCACGCTTTTTCCTCTGTTGTTTTCGTCACGTTCTGCGATCAGCGATAGCAGGGTCCTTCAGTGTTCTTTCAGCCAAGAAATGCACGCGCCGGATGTCGTTAAAATGGCGACTGCCACCGCTTCCGGTTGTCGTATGCGTAGTCGCGAAATATGTGAACTTACCTGCAAAGTAAACAGAGGGAAATGTGCAAAATCACGGTTAGTATGTGCTTTTTGAATGGGCATATCACAATTTCTTAAGCGTAAATTGCATAATAATAATAAAAATACATATAAGATTGATGAAAAATTAACAATCAACAGATTTAATAGCTACTTGAAGGTTATCTTGGGAACACAGACTACGGCGGGGTTATATTTAAATGCTCTAAGGTACACTGGGCACTGTCACTTAATAAATTGAATCTAATCAAGAAAGATTCCTGTAGATTTTGTGATGGAGCAGGAAACATCGGAACACATTATATGTAAATAACTCACCAGAGCCCTAAATTAAAAGCTTCAATAAATATCCTAGACCATTGGTTTAAATATTAGACCCTAATTCTGTATCCATGCCAATTAGGAGCATTGCAAGATGCAATTTAATTCAGCTTCCCCCGAATAAAGATACTCCCATCATTCTCTCTAATAGGTATGCTTTAGCCCCAGATGCCTGGTCACATTATTGCGGCACAAGCTGTGGTTTGCTCTCCCAGAGGCTCTCTGCTAATGCGGCCCCCTCAGAGCTAGCGAATGGATGCCCATGAAACAGGAAATAATTGAAAAAAGACATTTGGCATTTGCGATGGCAACGATTTACTTTAGCTTCTAGTTCTATAACTTTTAATCATATAATTAGAAGAAGCTTTTAATAAAGTAATTGAACAAATTAGTTTCATTGTGAGAGTCGAATGATGTTTAATAATTTCAATCTCTCTACACACGTCTTGCTACGTAGGAGGATGACCGTATATTCTGGATTATTCTATAAGTAAGTGGCCTTATCATCGGATAGGGGTTATCCTACCGCAACATTTAGTTAGAATCACCATATTTCTAATGAAATATTCATAATCTATAAATATTATTTTCTTTAAATAAAAGGATGTAGCGAAGATAAAAGAAATTCTTATTATAGCAGGTTTGTATAAGAAAGGTCGAAATCATGGTCTCCAAAGACTTATGACGAGAAAAAGCGTCTGTAGAAAATTGCTATTGCCTGGCTTTTTTTGACTATTACTTTTCAAGAACTTTACTTATCTAATCGAAAAAGCCTTAGTCTCTTCTCAACCTGCACAATTTTAATCTATATAGATACTATATCTTAAGTATGTTTTAGCATATAGATTGACCTATCCCAAAAAGAACTGAGCTATCATCTTTGAGTGCTAAATGGAGTGCTTACACAAAAACTTGGTCACTGGCACAGATTCCCAAAAAAACTTCTCTCTCTCTCTCTCTCTCTCTCTCGCTGTTTCCCCCAGTCTGTCTTTCTCCAGACCGAGCCGACAGACCGAGTTGTTGACTCAACCGATTAGCAGCTAATGGGAGAGAGAGAGAGCACTTACAGCCGTCATTCATCCGCCAAACAATTACCGCTTGTTAAGAAGAAATCAATGAAGACCAGGCTGGAACAGAGTGTGAAGTTCTGCATATTAATCGGGTAGAAAGAGAGTGACAGAGAGAGAAATGCAGTCAAAAATAAGATGAGAAATATGTCCCAAATAATGAGGGGTAACCAGGGGCCATGCCATGCCAGTCAGTTATTCATTGCTGCCCGTTGAGGTTGTGCTCGGTCTGTAGGAGGCTCTGAGTGTGATTCCAATTGAACCCTGCCCCCGTAATGATGGGGCATGTATTGAGGCTGCTAGTGATTTGTCAGGCAGGTGACTACCATCATCATTCGTATTCGAATCATTTTTCTGCACTGAATCCTCTCATTTGTGGATCTGTGCTCTAGTTGCACAGTAGATTCCGTCTAATGCACTTTCGTTTCGTCGTCTCACAGTTTGTTTGTGGCTGGCTGCAGCAAAACTACTCGTAAAAGAGGAGTCTGATTACAAAGCCCATGGACTGGGGAAGGACAATGCAGACAACAATCAATTGCAGGAGATGGATCTGGAGCAAGAGCTGGTGCTGGTGCCGGCACCGGGACAGCTGCCAAGACCCGCAGTGCAAGTAAAAGTGACAAATGAAGTGGAAAGTGCCATGAGAATGATGATGATGATGATGACTGCGATGGGTATGAGGCAACAGACGAACTACTTTGACACACAAATGGCCAACCGACTGCCACTGCTGTCATTGTCTAACCTAATGAGCCCCAGTTCCACTCCCACTCCCAGTCCCAGTCCCAGGCCCAAGCTCAGTATGTTGCCAATATTGGATGGGCGTAGCTCGGACATCAGTCCCGAGACAGAACAATTACTTCGATTGCAGTCGTCCGACTACAAACTGCTGTACAATGCCGAACGGCACACGTATTTCCAACTGCATACCATAACCGGCAATCATCGCGTTTCGAATGCGCATAAGGATGCGGCGGCGTCCAATCGAAGAAGGCTCTTCCAGCAGGCAGTGGGCAGCACCCTGAGTGCCGCCTTCGGCCTGAATGTGATGGCGATGGACGGACGGGCCGTGACCACGGAGACCGTGCATCTCTATGATGCCGCCTCGCTGCGGCAGTCGCGCTTCAATCCCTTCAATCCGACACGGTGAGTGCTTCAGCTGGATTGATAGCCAAAAGCCTTTTCCCTCAGTGTAATTTCTCTCTCTGTCATTTCTCCTTTAGCATCCTCATCCACGGCTGGCTGGGCAATGCAAATGCCAATATCTACAGCGCCTTGCTCCCACCATACCTATCGCTGGACAAGGGGCGGTACAACATCTTCACCGTGGACTGGGGCCGCGGCGCCATAGCGGACTACATTACGGCCAGCTATCGGGTGAAGCCCGTGGGACAGGTGCTGGCCAAATTCGTGGACTTTCTGCACCAGGAGGCGGGCCTGAGGTTCGAGGATCTGCAGCTGGTGGGCTTCAGCATGGGAGCCCATGTGGCGGGCCTGGCTGGGAAGCACCTGCAGACGGGGCGGCTCAGGATGATCCGTGCTTTGGATCCGGCCTTGCCCTTTTTCCGGTATGCCCAGGACAAGGAGCGTCTGGCCAAAGGGGATGCGGACTATGTGGAGGTGCTACATACGAGTGTCGGCAGCTACGGCTTCGATCGCCCGCTGGGGCATGCCGATTTCTACGCCAATTGGGGCAGTCAGCAGCCGGGCTGCTTCTGGCTCGAGTGCAGCCACTGGAGGGCATTCATCCTCTTTGCCGAGAGTCTGCGGCCCGGCCGGGAATATCCGGCCCGTGGCTGTGCGGTCAGCGAATGGCAGCAGTTGACCCGCTTCCATCGGTGCCCCAGGGAGACGGGCAACAGACAGAGCATGGGCGGCGATTTGGCCAATGCCTCAATGGAGCTGCTTCTGGCCAGACGACAGGGTGTCTATTATTTCGAGACAAATGCTAAGCCACCCTATGGCATGGTTCAGCGAAATGCCAGCCCAAAGGGAAAGCACAAATAAATAGAGGAACGGAACAGTAGGGGAGAATAGAGGGAAACGTAATGAGCAAAATGCGAGTGCAGTTCTTCGCGTTTTTATTTCTAATTAGTAAGTGCATGTTCCACACATGTGTGTGTCTGTGTGCTTGTGTGTGTGTTTTGGAGAGTGTACTACCATAAGTACACGAGAGTACGGGTATGAAATGTACGCTGTTCCATTTCTAAAAGCCTGGCTGGCAAAATTAAAAAATGCTGCCATGTGTAAAATGCTTTTCATGCCAGTCACAGGCAACAGGAAGGACCCCGTCAAAAACAGCACAACACAAAAATGGCAGATGAATTTGTGAAAAAATACTTATGCAGGACAAACTAGGAAACAAAATGAACACACAAAAACTGGGGGGGTTTGGTACGTAAATGAAAATCAAGGGGGGAAATATGTATGTATGATGCCCGAAAATAAATCCCTAAAATTAATCACTTTTAATGGGAAACTGATGAAAATTGTTAGAATCTTGCACTATGGCTTAAAATGAGAGTTTAAATGAGAGTTGCAATTCAATATCAGTCAATATTCAATATTCCAGATGAAATACGATTTATGATTGTGACCCTTAGAAAATTATGTTCTACCACTGCAGTGGCAGTGCACTGCGAATTAATTGCAAGGATCATAAGAATTACAATTTAAATTTATTAAAACAAATTTAAAATACAAATTTTTGAATTGTCAAAAGATATTTCTTTAATTTTATATTTATATATTATATAAATTTAAAAATTCTTTTTCCAATTTTTATTATATAAATTTAAAACTGAATTATAAAACAATTAATAAAAAACAAATTAAATTGGTAAGATAAAATAAATAATAATAAAATAAAAATTAATTCAAATAGTAAAACTCTTTTTATTGATTTTGAATTAAAAAACGGGAGTTAACTAGGAAATGTTGAAAGCAGGGATAATGATTGCTTGGAGTTAGTAGAATATTTTAGAAATTGTAGAATAATTTAAATATTAAACTCTTCCCATTCATTGCAATTTGAAGATTAATGCCATATTCCTATAACCAAGTCTAGAGGGAAACATTAAACTTTCTTTATATGCGCAGCACATAAATTAAAAAACTTGGCCAAACTCGAAACTTGGCCTTTAATTGGCGAACACAACACGCTTAAGGGCATCGTAAATCCACCCCCGTAAAAAACCCAATCCCTGGCATACTCGTCCTTTCGGGACCTTAGAGGGGTCCAAAGAGCGAGATATGCTGGCCAAAGAGCACAGAGACCATGCCAAAATGTCGCACGGCTGCCGCTAATGTGATTTTTACGCATCATTTGAGTGAACAAAAAAGAAAATTGGCCCACAGGCACACCAACAACAGTGGAAAAACAGGCGAAAACTTGGCCTGCCAATGCCATAGGAAATTACGTGAGCAAATATTGGCCCAGGAAAAACAAATATTTCCATTTCGCTTGATTTGTTTAAGCCATAGAAAAAAAATATATCTAGAATATTGAAGTTTATTTAAAAAATTGTTTGAAAAGAAATATTTAAAGAGTTGATGAAACAAAATGCATGTGTATAAATTATGGATTACAAAACTAAAACACAACTCCCCCACTTCGACATTTTCTTTGCTTTTTCCTATATATACAGTTTTCCCATTAAAAGGTGCGACAAAATGAAAACTTTAGACATAGCCAAGGTTTTCAAGAATTTTCCATATGCCCCCAAAATTTTGTTTAATAATTCAGAAACCGAGATTGGATAACAGTTTCAAAACTTTCACTCGACATTTGCAGCGCCGATATACAAAACCATTAATAAATTGCAAAGAGAATTGTATGACCTTTCATAAGAGTTTTTATTCGTGTCGACACAATGGCTATTCCTAAAGATAATCTAAGCCCAATAATAAAACATTTAAAGGAAATTAAGAGTCAGTATTTGATGACTCTTGGCCCGATTGCTCCTTGATTAAATCGCGCACTTAGAAATTATTTTTTGTAAATTTATGTTTGGAATAAACAAATGTATGTACATATTTATATAAAAATCTGCAGTTGGTTAAAGTTTCTTTAGTTTTAGATTGTTTTTCATATATTTTAAATACAATTTCCTTACCACATTAAGGTCTCTAAGTAATTCATATCGTAAGCAGATTATCTCCCTTTTGTTATGATTAATTTAAATAAGGGAAGATCTTATTATAATATTTCTCTTCCTTGCACTTGAATCACCAAATTAGGATGGGGTGGGGAGGGGTTTTCACACTTGCAGCACAAATTGAATTAGTAAATTAAGAAGAGATTTCTTTGAGTTTTCTCACTTGCAGCGGCATAAATTCAATTACATTGAATTGAATTGAATTAGCACAAAAACCCCGAGATCCGAGCATTAAACGCACTCTTAGTCAGAGACATTTAAAAGGAATTAACTTTTTCTTGGTTAAAACTTGTCGGATAATTTCCTTTTGGCCCGGTAGATAGTGAAACGGGTAAAATGAATCGAGTAAGCCCCGTCGACTGTTGCCGGTTGTGCACTGCAAAGCAAACTGAAATTGTTCTCAGCCAAATGGAAAGACAGCAACAAATAAAAGAAGAAAAAAATGGCTAATTTGTGTCGCGTCTTCCAGTGAATGGTTGAAAGAGATGGCAAGGGATTGGGACTGGGGACTGGGGGCTGGGGACTTGGTTCTCAGGGAAGCCTATAAAATGTGGCCCGCACTTGAGCCAAAGAGTTTGACGCACAAACTGAACAAAACTGAACTGAAAACCGAACCAAAAGCTGAAGGCTGATGGGCTGAAAAGAGAACAGAACACGGCTCGGGCTCGGTCTTGGTCTCGGGTTGGGGTATGGGTCGGGGCTGAGCCGTCAGACAATGCATTCCTAATTCCTGGCAGAATGAGAATATGAGGGGCTCTTCTGCCTACCACTAGAAAGAGTCGTTTTTTGGGGGCTGCAACGTGGCAGTAACCCAAGCCCCATCCAACCTGTCATAAAGTGTCGCGCCTCCTCCTTCCGTTTGGGTTACCTGTGTCTGTGTGTCCCTCACAATGCTCTGTGTTCAAACCCGCAATGGCTTCCGGATAGGACACCAGGGAAAAGGAACAGGCACAGGCACAGGCACAGGGACTGGTCGGATAAGTTTGCCTTTTGTTTGTCTTTGGCAGGAGCAGAAGCAGGAGCGGGAGGCACATACACGCCCACAAAATGCAGGCTTAGGCAGGCTCTTGTTGCAGCAATAAGTAGAAGGATTAGCCAAGCTGTTCTTCTGAGAGCCGCTTCAGCCTTGAGGAACCCCAGCCAAATCCCAGCCAAGGAGCAACTGTCAATGCCAGAAGAAAGCTGTATGCAAACTACCATTCGTTGACAATGTTTGACGAGATTGTAGCTGGGAAAACAGGCACATGATGGCATCCATGTGGGTGCGACTAGAATGGCTGACAAAATCCCCAGCAGGTGGTCCGGTCCTGGCTCGCACCGGGGGTCGGGAGGGTCCTGTGGGGCGGTGACCAACAGAACGTTTACTCGATTGAAAGGTTAAACTCTGAACGATTCATTTACGTGAATGGGAGCAGAATGTTAACAGAAATTCTATGGAAAAGTAAGATTTAACGGACACAAAACTTTCATTAAAGGGAAGAATATTCAAAACGATGGGGGACTTATTTCCATCAAAGAAATTCATTGGAAGAGGAAACAGTTTCATGGCGGAAATAGAAATTGCAGGAGGAAATGCAAAATACCACTATTCGAGGATGGCACCACTTACGATGGAGGAGATTTAAGGAGGTGAGCAAAATACGACGGATTCTATGGAGGATTCACTGGAAAATCATGTTTAATAAGAGGACTCAATAAAGGAGAAAATAGTATGCAAGGAAAGATGGATTGGATTCCACCTACGATGCAGATAAGTTATTCTGGATGGATAGAGCTCCATAAAGAGAATGAACAGGGTTCCAAGAAGGAATAGGGTGCCATGATTTCTTTGGATGAAGGAATAGTTCCCATTATGTTGAAGAAGTCTCAGGGCATACAGGAGAAGTAGTTCTATCACTAACTTTTAATAAGAACGATTCAATGGAAAAATTAATGAAATGCATTTCTTTCTTTAGAGGCTGAAAATGGAGAAGAACATACATATACTTAGCGACGAATAAAGAAGTGAATCGATTTGATGAAATAAAAAGGTCTCCATTCTGAAAAGAAAATAGTCTGAAGAAAAGGGGGGGGGCGTCTAAAACGTATAAATCATTCGTATCTCCACGATGAATGCAAGTATAAGCTAATTAGTACAACTTTATACCACAATTCCTCAATCAATTCACAGAACTTTGCCCAGACACACCTCAAAACTCGGAAAAACTTTGCCCAACACCACGGCCATAAATCCATGATGAGGGAAGCGGCTTTTGCCCCTCCCCACTCGAAACGAAAGTTGAGCTAACTATCAAATCCAACTAGCAGGTAACAATTACATCATTTTACAGACAATTCCAAATTGAACAAAGTCTTTTCGAGGCTCTGCCATGGTGGATGGTGGATGATGTGCCTTGGGCTATGGGCTATGGGCTGTGGGCGTTGCACTTATACCCAAAACTCACTCAAACAATTAGCTGAAAAGGTGGATGAGAACAGGAGCAAAAATTTGGCTGGGAGTATGAGTCAGAGACCTGCTGCCGTTGTCGCCGTCAACTGAAGCCCTATGAAAAAGTTTCAGTTTTTTGCACAAACAAATTGGATTATTCGATTACGTGTTTGTACAAGCCAAGAGGGGCAGGTGGGGCGTGGCGTGGCGTGGTGCGGCGAACAGGTGGGGTCAGGGCGGGGGCTTAACAGAGGTTGGCTTGTAAAGCGGCCAAGGGAACAAGTTTTTAAGGGCACCACAGGGGCTTGGTTTCATTTCCATTTCCAATAGTATTTTCCATTCTTCAGGGGTTGCGGCAGGCAGTTCCTTCAGTATTTGATTTTGATTTATTTGGCATTTGTTTGCCAATTGGCAAATGTTTG